CTTCTTCTGCTTGTTGCTGAAGCGATTGTCCTGTTCTGCACTGGTTCCCTATAGGACAGGGAATAAGACTTTTAGTCTGAATGACATCCAACTACTGTTCAGGATTAGTTTCCCACATATTCTTACACTGGATACCATACAGCATTACCAGTCACATCGTTTTGAATGCAAATAAGCCCTTTCTGTGACTCTCAGTTTCAGCACCACAGTCTTCAGCTACTGCAGGAGATGTGGGGATAAACAGACTTCCGAGCTCTACGGTGACACCTTAATCATAATCTCCCTGGAAAACTCCTCACAAATTTGAAGAGCTTCAAATTGTGATTTCCAGCTTGGGTCTCTTCCATAGCAATCTCCTCAGAAGGAATAAGCTCTTTTTCCTCTGCCCAAGATGTCATATCTATCAATGCTTTGGGTATGTTTCTCTGAGGTGAATTAGCCAACATGGAGTTTGCAGGACTTCAGAGCACACTGTTTTATTGAATATGCTCCGTTAAAGTTCACCGTTCCACTTCCATGAACGGAAACTATAGGGCAAGTCATTCAGTACTGAAAGGTTTGAAAGTCCAGTTCTGGAAACTTTCCTTGTGTGGAATTAAACAGAACGGCACATACACAGCTGTGTGTTTAGAACTGCATCCAAATAACCAATGACTTGTAAACATTTCAAAACAAACCCACAGTTCACACCTGAAACTTATTCAGGAAACTACCAACACAAGTGCTTCGAAGCATAGAAGTTTAATAAATGCAGTTTCCTACCCACAGGAGAAGGGGGTACATATAAGCAATTGGAACTGGAGAGTAGTAAATAAGAGAAAATTCCAAAAATCTAAAGTGACCACCTCTCTTGATCAGAAAGCAGTCTGAAATGGCAAGCTGAGTTGCTGCAAAATCACAAAATACTGTAAGGGAGTTGAAACTCTTAACCTGTTGGCACATAGGAATCCTTTTTAAAAAGTTGTTTTAGTATTTGCAATCTATGTGGCTTACACTCTGGAAACAAACGCAGTATTTGTAAGATGATCCTAGAAACTAACATCCTTTGAAAGCAAAAAAAGCCCCCTGCTCTTCTCCCACCCAAAAGGGAAATAAAAAGCAGTGAAATTTTGCTTAACCAGCTTATAACACAGGGCAACAGTAAGGCCAGAATCCAATGCAACTGGAACTTCCAGGCAAAATAATAAACATGGACAACTTCACAGAAGCATGAAGAGCAGAAAGCATTAACAGCAGCAGCCTTCTTGGTAGGTGAATTGAAATTGCTGCTTTGACACAGTTCTTTCTACAAGAGCTTTAATTTCTTCTAACCCCAGATTAAAAAAAAAAAGGAAAAAAAAAAACTGCAACAAGAGTTTACTGCTGTGTGTTTTAGTGCCATAATGCTACTTTAAAAACACACACACAGTCACCATTCACAGAGGAGACTGAAAAAGATACTAAATTTCTAATTCAGAGCTTTTCAGCTCAGTAATTTCACCAGCAACATCTAGCTGGTTAAGATACTTTTAAACAACTGCAAGAGAAAGGACAATTGTTGATTTAACTTCTAACTACTCCTCTCTTCAGCTTCTTCTTTTGTAACCCGTAACATGTAGGTGTTTTTACTGGGTTAGTAGCTGAATTACACGTAAGCGATATATGTGTCGTCATGCTTCAAAATCATCCAAGCTCAAGGAATATAAAACAATGGGGCTGAATGACAGAATTAATCTTGGACACACAAGTTTAGACAGTTTCAGATTTATCAGTTTTCAAAACTGTTAAGCAAGCCTCCAAAAAATCGTTATTGTTATATTCTTCTTTCCTTAACATTGCCCTAATTTGTTTACTATCTGGGAATTACCACAATAGCCTTTCCTTTCCACTATCGTAAGCAAAGCAACTAATATATATATACGCACATATTTTTATAAATAAAAAATACATATTCCCTATAGAAAGTAGATCCATTCCAATTAGTGGGATAAAAGGTTGGGAAGAAATACCCCCGTGTTTCTTCTGTTTTTTTTTTGTTGTTGTTGTTTGTTTGTTGTTGTTGTTTTTTAAGAATTAAAGATTCTCTAAGAACAAAAAGAAAAAAAAAACTACAAAAAATAAGCTAAACAAAAAAGGAAAAAAAAAACCCTCCTCTTTGTGCTTTGAAAGCACCTAGTGACCTATGTGCGGCACGTTTTGCGGCTTCCCCCTGCATATGGCGCTGTTCTTTATTCGGGCGAAGGCGACAGGCAGGGCAGCTTGTTTTTTAAGAATTAAAGATTCTCTAAGAACAAAAAGAAAAAAAAAACTACAAAAAATAAGCTAAACAAAAAAGGAAAAAAAAAACCCTCCTCTTTGTGCTTTGAAAGCACCTAGTGACCTATGTGCGGCACGTTTTGCGGCTTCCCCCTGCATATGGCGCTGTTCTTTATTCGGGCGAAGGCGACAGGCAGGGCAGCGGCAGGTTCAGCCCGCGTTGCCCCTCAGCGCTCGCTCCCGCTGCTCCTTGGGCCGCGGGGCC